TGGTCGCGCCGTGTTTATTAGAATTTGCTTGAAGAAAAAATTTAGCATTTACTTTGAACAGTCTGCGTATTCAATTAAGCTGCCCCCCCCCTACCCCCTCCGCCCATCCCTTTCTCACACTGGCCACCAATTGGTCGGCCAACTGGCGCGCTAATCAGCCAAGAGCAAAAAGTTGACGAAGCGACCGACGAAGGCGGACAGCTGACTGCGTCAGAGCATAGCGATAAGAGCAACTTGCATTCGGCTTTGACTTCCGCTTTGCAACGACTTTGGAAACTGAAAACAGAAACAGAGACAGAAACAGAAACTAGTCGAATGTCCGATCTGTCCAAGTTCAGCTCATTAATAAAAAGCACGAGCCCCCCACGGTTGATTATATGTATGTATGTATATATATGTAAGTATATAGTTGTGTGTGTATTTGATTTGATTTGTTTTTAAATGAGCGTCAGAGGCGACAACGTGTTTTGTTGCTGTCATTCATGATATATCAGCCCATGCGCTTAATGGTCTTCACGGGGTCTTCACGGGGTCTTCTGGGCGGTTCGGTTCGGCAATGGGCTTAACTCAAGTTCGCATGAAGAGTTCTTGACAAATGCATTAAATTACTTAATAAGAGGTTTTTTCTATTGATTTAAATAGATGTTAATGGGCTTTATTTGTTTTCGATTTTCACGAAGAAAGGGCATTTGGATCTCGTGCTTTTAAACAGCTATTTAGCTCGTGTCCTTGACCATAAACCTGAATTGTGTTTGTTTTATTTAATTTTTTGTTTAGTTATGTTTTCTTTTAAAAGCTGTTTTTGCGTGCAATTCGGCTGCTGCCTTTTTTGTTTGCCAAATTATCGCTTATTATTCAATGCGGCATTTGCGGAGTTTAATTTGTTAATTAGATAAATAGAAATTTTATTTATGTGCACTGAGGTGCGGCGACTTTTTCCAGTTCCCCTGCAACCCCTCCATCAAGCTTAACCTTGAATGTGCAAAAGGCAAAGGTAGATTTTGTTTTTTTTTTTTTTTTTCGCTTGCGCCCGGCAAAAGTAAATCAAGATGGCCATAAAATATGCCCCGAAAAAAAGCGTTAAAATTCTAAATAAACAAAGCAAAAATGAAGCAGCGACAAAAGCTAAATAAATGCAAAGTTCGAGTACATTTCAAAAAAAAAAATAAATAAATAAAAAATAAAATAAAATTGTATATATATATACATATTAAAAATTCCATTGCTTGATTCAAATTCTGATTGTGGTTTCAATGCACTTTTTGTTGTTTCAAAAGCATTTGCTGCTGCAGCAAAGCTACATTCGCAGTGGAAGGAGGAAGACAGAGATAAAGAGAGAGAGAGAGAGAGAGAAGGCAACAACAATGAGACTCCAGACAATAACAAAACAAAGCGTCGCGTCCTTGAAATCGCGCGACAGGGCCGCTAAACTCAAGCGTCGACGCAAATAACTCACAATAACGGCTGCACAGACGCGGCACAAGGGCGGGCGGGGCTACCGGGCGGGGGGTAGGTTACCTCTGAGCCAAAGAGAAAGATTGAGGACTGAACGAAAGAGAAATAGCCAGCCACATGACGTATGACGTATGACATATGACGTATGACGTAAAATGCGCAAAATGCACGCCCAAAAATAAATAAATAAATATCAATTATCTAAATATGTGTGTGGACATAATTTGTTTTTCAATTCAAATGCCTTTACATGCTTAAAGAATTGTCAAGTAATTGCAAATTCTATAAAACAAGAAGAACGCTCTGGCCCGACTAGAAGATACCCAGTATTCTAATTCGTAAGTGCAACGTATGAATATTGATATTTCGAGGTTCTATAATAATCATATATGTATGTAATTGCAAATCATACAAAAGAATGGTCAACCCGACTAGAAGATACCCTGATCCCTAACAAAATGCAGCCGATGCAATGAAATTTGCAACTTTTAATTCTTTTTTAATCTATATTTTGATTGTCTATATTTTGATTGACATTTAAACTTCTTTTAAATATCTCTAATAATATAGGCAAAATGACTCTTTAAATAACCCTTTATAGCTCATTTCATATGCACGTGGTATGAAACAAATCGTTTCGGAAATGTAAAAACATTCTACATTCTATATATGTATATGTAAAGAGTTTTATATTACACGTAAACACTTGTGCAAAATGCGTACTCTGCAGTTGAGAAATTATAAAGTGCCTGACATTACGTTGTTTTTACATATATCTATATATGTAGGGAATATGCATATCAATTCAGGGTTGTAACAGCTAGACAAGCAGAAGATACAACACTTTTATGTTTATAGAGGGGAAGTATTTTGTTAGAAGGTATATGTAAATTTGTTTTAGTTATATTCTTCTAATGCATATATGCATATCTTATTGATTTACAGGGTAAACAATAGTCGCGCTCTCTACTAAAAGTTGGGCGCATCTTATACTATTTTTATAGCTCTATAGAAGGTATTGAAATTTTGTCATATGTGAGAAATTATTCGTTTCGAGATATATTGACAAAACTGGGCATTAATTAGTATTTATATCAGACTTCTATATCATATAGTTTTACTGTGAAACATGAGAAATTGTGTGCTTTTAATGATATGTTGAGAAAAGTTGGCAATTACGAGCATTTCATTAAGGGTATTTAATCTTCGAGGTGCCGCAGGTAGATTTTCTTTATTGTTGCGATTTAATTTCAGTTTGGGATCCGCTTTTGTGTAAAGTGCAGGGAATTACGAATGCAGCGAGTTCAAGGACTGCTCTTGCACCCACAGATCGGAGGGGAGTGGGGCAGAAAGAAAGCGTTTATTCAGCGACTCGCAATTGGGGCTTTTCCATGGTCACTGAACATGGAACTTTGGAGCACTTCTGCCCACTTTTAGCCTTCGTTTAATTGAGCTCTAGCCGCTTGACGCTAATTTGCCGCTCTACTTAATTCCAGATGAATTCAGTGCCCATTTGTATTGCTTTGAAATCCATCATAAATCAGAAGGAACATTACGATTTCGCACAAATTTTATGTTGCAAATCGCACGTTTTGTATTATTTTTTCATGCTCGCAGATGCGTCGACTTTTTGATTTACAGATCGTTAAAATATAATGAACATTTCCACAAATATCGACACGTGTGCGTCTCAAATTGATTAATTCAACAGACCTATGTGTATGTACGAAGATCTATGTGTTTACGTGCATATATATTCGAGTTAACGCTCTTTGTTATTGTTGCTAGGCGAGAACGGGTTGATTTTCGAATAGGTCGGGGCGTACGCCGTCTGACTCGAAACCCGAAACTAACGACTGGCAATGCTCTGGTCGAGAGGAGCTATCAAATACCCTGCAAATGTTTGGTCAGACATTCAGTCTAAGTCACATATTACCTTACGCGTCTCTAAAACAAATGGAACCTAACATTTATCTCAAAACTCTAAATAACATAGATCTGTTAATTATAATTTATTAAAATGAAAATGCCATACATTTGGACAGTTTTTTCATACCTCGTTAAGTCATTTGCATAGTTACAGGGTATTCAAACGGGAATAACGCAAAACGCATAAAACTTGAATAAAAACAATAAATACAAATGGATGTATGTATGTGTGTTTGTGTGTGTGTGTGTGTGTATAGCAACAACAACAGCAAAAATAACAAACAGCAATATTAATAAACAATAATTGTTCAAGGTCAAGATGCGAATTTAGCTTAGAACAAAACAAATGTGAAATAACACGTTGAAATAAATATGCACATGCAAATTTGATAGGCCTGTCGATACCCTGTACTCAATATTGTCTATGTCTGCCAAATACTACTGCCTAGTCTAACTTTCACGAAAGTTACATTTTCTTTAAACAGTATTCAAATCGGCACATTACATTTCCCAAGTGGTTTCAGCGAGGCAGCGGGAAATGGGGGATTTGTGAAATGCCTGAGACATAATATGCCTGAGGAGGCGTTGAGTAATTGGTATGGGAACAACAGGTTGATGGCGTGTTTTTGGGGCCACTTAAGCGACACTGGGCGGGGGCTTGGCAGGAGGTCTAAGTGGGTGGTTGTGTATTCGCAGGCAAATATTTGTTTGCAGGTGGAATATTATGAAGTGAAACGAGCAACAAGTGTGAAAATTATAAAAAACCAATGGGAATTCCGATGAACTAACTAACTAACTTGGATGGAATTATATTAATATATGTATGAGGCTTATGATGGAGAGCATAGGCGTGTAACATAAAGGAAATCGTTTGGAAATAATAAAGATTAAGAACCCATTCAGCTGTCAAGCTGACAACAACTTGTGCTGATCCTCCTATGGAAAGTGATCTCACTGGATTCGCTTGGATTTTCGCTGTTGACAGCGCTTAGAAACTGCTCTATTCCAAAAACTGCGCACTTTGCGCAACTATGTATTTTATTTATTCAAAACAAAAACTATTTTTGAATACTTTTGAGTGTACACAACACAACACACACATATGAACCGCAAGTGTTCCCCTTGTTCTTCTTCTTTGTCTTCTAGCTGGTGACTGAGTAATACGAGTAGATGTACTCGTTTGCGTACAAGCATTACGTATTTATTATGATCAGATTTTTGGCATTTGCGCGTTATTTGATCGCCGGCCAGAAACGTCGACGTCAGCGCAGGCAGCGGCAGAGGCAGAGGCAGCGACAGAGACAGAGACAGAGACTGAGACAAAGTCGAAGGCAGCAGCAGCCCAAGGTCAGCGTCTTCTCATCTGCTCTTCTGCCTCTTCTCGCATGCTTCGACTTGAATAATTAAGTGCGAAATAAATTAATTTCAGTAGAACTTTTCGGCATGCGCAGCCCATATTTAGTCGCATTTGGGCAATCGAATGGACATATTAGATAAACGAAATACGCGCTTGACCTTTTCACCTTTTATGGACAATAACAGTTAAGGCAAAGGGGAAATACGATGCGTATTAAATAATTAAACATAATTAATGAAAAGGCTGCTGAAGCACTTACCCTCTTGCTTCTTCTCTCCTTTCTTCCGCTCACGCTTGACATCTCTCAATTTCCATTAAAAGTCTGAGGACAGAACTTTTCCAAGCTATATAAAAACAGATTTGTCTCTATGGCACAAGTTCATTTTCCTTTTGACGTTGTTTCATGTTCCAACTGCTTCGACTTTTCTTCAAAATAATTCTGGATAACACTAAGCGAATATTAATTCCGTTTTCACAAAACATTGGCTTGGGCTAAAAAAGAAAACTACACAGATTAATGGGGAATACGAGTTCTAAGTATATATATTATTAAAAATATTAAAAGGATGATGCCTGAAGAAGAAGAGATCATGGCAAGGCTGAGAGTGATGAATAAATGAACAAAGTTGGGTATCCAAAAATAATATCTAATAGGAAATTATGTAAAGTTGGCAAATTTTAACTCATTCACAGGCATTTCCGCAGAAACCATACGAATTTTAAAGAAGAATATACAAGTATGCCATTAGGACGATCCTCTCCACCAGGATTCACCCAGGATTCACCTTATGCTAAATGCGATTTAGCCTGGCCTTGTCCCAATTAATAAAAAATAAAAAGATTGCAAAATGTATAAGGCACAAAAACCTTTCCAATTATCATGAAGATACCTGTTTTTCATATTCCATTTAATGTTATTATTATTTTTTAATCATAAAGCGTCGAGCGTCGAGCAAGCGGGAAAATGAAACCGAAACCGAATGCGGCGCCGCCGCGTTGAATGCAACAAACGGCCAATGGGAAAGGAGGCGAGTGTGGCTCAGCTGTGAAAGTTGCGGCCTGTGAAAGTGAAAATGGAAATGCTGCGTGGCATGAAAACCCACTGACATCAATTTGGGCTTTTCAGCTGGTCGAGCGAATGGGCGGCTAGACGGTTAGACGGGTAAGGAGGCGAGGCGGGGCTGGGGAAATGTGAGAGCTGCTGCGGCGGCGCAGAAAATCGACAATAAAATAAATACTATAATTTAACAACTGTTGCGAATAGGCCGGGCGACTGGCGGTCGCTGTTTTGTCGCAGCAATTAAATTAGTTATTAAAATTATATTTATTTGTGCATTTATTGCCATAACAGAAAACACACAAACACACACACACACACACACGCCTGCGCGACCTTGAGCACAAATATCATACTAATATATTATTAAACAAATGAAATGTGAGTCAGTAAATGTTTTAAATGAATTAACAACTGGTTTCGCTCAGCTAGGCAATTATTATAAATTATACATGTTTCAATTTAAACAAGATGCAAATTAAGAACCAACAAAATATAAAACGTTTCTGATTTGTGTTAATTCGCAACTTATGCTGCTATTAGAAGCATCAAGAATCATCATTTAAGTTAATATCACAGTTTAAATTTGTCAAAACGATATCATCAAGTTGAATTATATCAATTTGAATATCATATTCAGAGCACAATTTGACTTGGATATGATAAAGAATTTTCAGTTAATATAGCTAAGAATTTATATATTTATGAAACATTACAGCAACAATATTTGATAGATAGATACAAATCAAATTTAGCCCGCAACTCTCTGTGAAAATATATACGACATATTGAATTTGAATTTGAACAAAGCAAGGGTTAGAACCATAACCTGCACAGGCAGCTGGTTCGAAACGTAATATTGTTTTAGCAGAAGGTTGAACAAACTGTATTCTTTTCAGTAATAAAAATAACAAACTTAATAGTTTAAATAACCTTTTGAATGTATATGATAATTAAAGGCTTGAACCAAAACATAGGAAGCTGGTTCAAATCTTAAGAATTGACAGTAACTAGGTTCTATACTTTTAATAATAATACATAGCGAACGAAATAGGTTTGAACAAAAGCCTGCATAAGAAGCTGGGTTGACTTAGCCGAAGGCCTTAAATAACAAACTAAGCCGAAGGTCTTAGTAGCCAGTGCTGTATTAAAATATAGCTTGACAGTAACTACATTCTATACTTTCAATAATAATCATAATTATATAATAATAAAAAGTGTTGTAGCATATATGTTCCTGGAAATTGTTATGGACATTGCCAAATTCTGATGCTTTTCAATGAAATGACTCATAAGGCAGACATATTCATTTCAATAAATTAATGTGCAATTTGTATTTACATAAATTTATTGCAACAACAGCTGCAACTGTTTTGTCCACGCCGCAGCCAGGTGCCGCTGACGCAGCCAAACTCCATTTGCATGCGCCGATGGGCTGCAAGCGCACTTGGAGCCGGCGTGCAGCAGCTGGTGAGTGTGATAAAAGCCGCCGGCTGTGGCCGCTTAAACTAGCTGAAGAGAGAGCGCAGCGTAGCTGAGCTATGTAAAGTAAAGAGAACGGGGTGCATAAAGAGCACGCAAAAGCTCGAGCAAAAGAGAGCGATACGAAGAGCACACAGGGAAAAGCTCTTGAGCGTGCGCGCTGTGGTGAATTAAATGCATTTAAATTTTGAATGATTGCAAGAGCGCAACAAAAAGCCGTTAAGAGCCAAACAAACACATTGCTCTGCTGCGACTTAAATTGAAGGGATATTGAAATGAATATAGTTATTGTTATATTAATTAGTTAATTTCAAAGCCATATAATTTTAACTGACTCAGACATATAAAATTAAGTTAACTTCGCATATGAGCATTTTTCCACTGGATATTTGAACTTTTATGTTGTTTTCATTAACTGTACCGCTTCGAGCTAATTGTTAAACGACGGCGGCGACGCCGGCAGCGAGTGCAAACTCGACCTTGACCGTGAAATTTAAATTTAGAAGCTACGGCCGGCTACGACGTAAAAAATGCAAAAAGCTTTCGGCTTTCACTGTGTTAGGTGTAAGTGTAAATACATGCATGCATAAATATATACATATTAATAAGCAGGCATATGTATGTAATTGTATGTATGGGATGTAATTGTAATTGAATGGCGCGTCAGGCGCTAAATGCCACAGGTATTCCCTGCCCACCGGGAAAACAACAACAAACACAACCACATGCATGTGTGTGTGTGTGTCTGAACAGAAACGTATACACATGCATTTGTATATGCGAATGCAACTCAAATGTCTCATGTGCTTTTGAGCTATTTGTGAAATTCGAATTTTATTTATATCAGCTACAGACGCCAGACGCTTTAATTGAAATTCGAACTTGCATGCAATTATGCTAATAGTCTAGGAATACGAGAAGCAGCTGAATATGTAAAAACACGTATCAGTTCGCTTATAAGGATATCTTATAAACTTACCATTAAATTTAAAGATCGAAATTATTTATGTACGAGCACATGGCTGAAGCGCCAACAATAACTGTCCGTGCAAAAAACTTATCGTTAAGTAGAAGTTTTACCGTTCTATAAAAACAATCGATAAGGTTTACTTTGTAAATATCTAGAAAATCTCTAACTTTAACGACCTCATTCTGCTTCTGATCTTAAGCGACAGCATTATTTCATTTTACCGAAACTAATATAGAATAAAGAAAATAACATCGGCAATAATAATTTACAATTCAAATGGAAAGATGTAGCGCAAAATTTGTACAGTATGGCCAGTGTTAGACAAACATAATAAATACCAAAATATTTAAAACAACTTTGTTAATCACACCTTATGCTGTTCAAATCGAGATAATATTAAGCAAACACATATTCGAGTTCGAAATGACCAATTTGCAACGCAGAAATTGAATTGAACTTCAATATTTAGCATAGACAAAAACACTTACGATTTATCAGCTAGCCTCCACAAATTATCGGATAGGTAAAACGAAAACAATCGATAGTCCATAATTGTGCCACACAATTCGCGGATAGCCAATCAGGTCCGTGGTTTTAATTTGTGTAGTTTCTTACCATCTGCAGATTGTCAGCTCATAAAGGTGAATTGGCAAGATTTTTGTTAACCTTGTGAACTTAATCTTGTGTCAACAGGATTCAATTGTCGCTACTCGGACTTAAGCCGGCAACACAATCAACGCGCACGTGTGACGCTAACGTATAAATATACCCTAGAATCAAAACGTTTGCTCAGCTTTTACATTCCATGTCAAAATGCTGGAGGAAGAGTTAAGCGAATATTTTTTGTGCAATTTCAACGATGCACAGCAGCTGGAGGGTGAGACGTGAAAAAAGTAAATGCGCTAGCAAAAATTTATAGACTGTCTTACAGATTTGCCGGCTGACGAGCGGCTGCGAAAGCTGTGGACTAGTGAAGAGTTGTGGACAGTGGATGAGCTACAGACAATTATTAAACGGTGGCAGGAGAGCCCACAGCAGCAGCCGAATGGGAACGAGGAAGCAGCACAATTGCTAAATGATTTTCTGCAATTGATTTTTGCGTTTGTGCAAAACAATTTCACCGGACCCTTCGACAAGCTGGCGGCCTGCACAGAAATGCTGACAGATTTGGAGCTGGCGCAAAGCGATGCCCTGGAGCAGCTAAAAGCAAGCGGCGAGGAGCTGAATCCAAATGTGAAGACTGCGCAATTCTTGCTTATAGCAAAGCAAATGCTTGATACATTAATTTCTGCCCAGCCCACGTCGAAGGTAGTTTCATTTGGCATAATTCTGCATCCTTGCTAATCCCTTTTCACATCATCACAGCTGCTTTGCTGGTGGCGTTTGCGTGTAGTTTGCCTACATCAGCATATACTGGACGACTTGGCCAGCGCTCTATACGAGCAATTCAAATTGGCCGCTGCCGAGTTGCGTCCGCACGTGGCAGCCTTTGCCCGAAAGGAGTTGCAGGCGCTGTTGCTACTTGAATTAGCCAATGGCTATTTGCAGTTCCATCGTTCCGATTTGGCATGCCAGACATTGGATGAACTATGCGAGCATCTGCAGGTCGAACTGAAGGTAGAGGGCCTACTGGGCGTGCGTACCAAGTTCCAGCAGAAGCCACTGCCTCAGCTTTGCCTGAAGGTGGTGCAGCAGTCGGAGGATTTGGGCTTGCCAACGGCACTGCTGAGCAATGCGCAGACAGCGCTGCCTCAACTGCTGCTCCTTGAGGATGATACGCGTCTGGAGCGCATACGCTTTATCGAGCCAAAGGACAACGAGGTGATGACACTTCCTAGCGTGCTGCAAGCGCTCGTGCTGGCTAAGGTGTGAGTATTAGTTGAGCCCGTCTTCGGATAAAATATATATTGCTTATTTCCTGAAACCGTTGCCTAATCCTTTTTGTTGTTGGTTGCAGCAAGCAACTGAAGCGATCCCAGCCCAAGGATCGCTTGGCAGATGAGCAGCTGGAGCCCTATACGCAAACGCTTCTCTATCAGCAGCATGGACCGCTGCAGGTGCGCCAAGCAGCGCTGCTGCTGAACTGCCAGCAGGAATCAGGCCAGCGGCGCACTGTTGAGCGTAGCTGGAAGCAGTGTGAGGAGTGCGTCAAGCTGTTGGACAACGTGGAGAAGCATACGCTGCGAACACGGCTATCCTACGGTTTTGCCGCCTTTCTGCAGCCCAAGTGGCAGGTGCAGCTGCAACTGGTCGATCTGCTGCGTTCGCTGGGCATGACAAAGACTGCGCTGGATATATGTCTGCAGATCCACGCCTGGCAGCAGGTCATCGAGTGCTACACAAGCCTAGAGCTGCGGCATAAAGCAGCAGAGATTATACGGCAGGAGCTAGAGAAGCAACCCACCGTTCTGCTATACTGTCTGCTGGGCGATGCTGTCGATGATCCCCAGTGCTACGAGCAGGCCTGGCTTCATTCCAAGCAAACCAGCGGCAAGGCTCAAGCCTATTGGGGCAACTACTTCTATAGGCGCGCGGATTTCACGCAGGCCATCGGGCACTACGAGCTGTCGCTGGAGATCAATGCGCTGCAGGAATCAATTTTGCTGCGCTGCGGCTACTCTGCCATACAGCTGGAGCGTTGGGAGGCGGCTGTCAAATGGTATCTCGCCTACACGCATCTGGAGCCAAATGGTTTTGAGTCTTGGAACAATCTGGCCAAGGCTCTTATCAAGCTGGGCGACAAGGAGCGGGCACATCGTCTGCTCGGCGAAGCACTCAAGTGCAACTACAACAACTGGAAGGTGTGGGAGAACTATATGCTTGTGTCGGTGGACACCAGCCACTGGGAGGATGCGATGCGTGCGTATCAGCGCCTCGGCGAGCTCAAGCAGCACTTTCTGGACGAGGAGGTGCTCACGCGCATTGTCTACGGCATTGCCAGGCAAATGCAGTCCGATTGCCCATCCGAAGCCATGTCCAGTTCACTGCAACGCCGCATCACTCAGCTGCTGGGCCAACAATGCGTGCAGCATGGCAACGAGCCAATGGTCTGGGAATTGTCCGCCTTGGTTGCGGCGACGCCACTTAAAAAGGCCGAGCGATTGGTCAAATCGTATCGCGCTTACACGGCGAAACAGCTTAACTGGGAGACGAAGTCCGCACACGCCAAGAAGGCGCTGAGCCTGTGCCAGGAGGCAGCCGAGCTGGCACTGGCTGCCATCAAGGAGCATGCAGCGGATGAAAGTGAGGCCATGATTACATCGCAGCTCAACTCCAGCCGCTTAGCGTCCACTTCCTGCCTGAATGCGTTGAAGCGTGCCAGCCTAGTGGAGGTGCCGAAAGAGCAGGCGGATCAAATGCAGCAGTTGGAGCAGCAGCTCACAGAGTTGACCAGTATTGTACAGCAGCGTATGCAACGCAACTAGTCCGTCGGCTCCTTGTACATATGTGTTTACTTTTATTAAAGCATTTTTAATATTTTCTAAACCTATCTAAAGCGTATTCAATTTTGTGGTGATGAGCACGCGCACGCTCTGGTCGAAGGCACCAGCGACGGCTAGGCCTAGTTTGTCGGGGTGCCAGTCGTAGCTGTGCACCGGCTGGGAGCTTAGGGTCACGGCGCTGATCATCTGTAGTTTGCCGGCGACGCCCTCTTTGTTGCCGTCGGCATCCTCAATGACGCGTCGATCGGGATATTCATATTGCCAGAGACGTATGGAGCCGGTGCCGCCGCCAGTTAAGAAAATATCACGATTCTGGGGCACATGGCGCACAGTCCAGACGGTGGCCTTGGGGCCACTGATGACGCCATTGCTGCCCACGCTGCGGCCCGCATTGCGCTCCTCCACGCAACTAAAGCCCTTGGTCGGGTGCTGTGTGCGCATATCGTAGACCAGCAAACCACCCTCCAGTGTAGTCACCGCCAGCTTGTTCATTGGAATATCGCGACGATCAAACTCCAGGCCGCAGATGCCATTTTTAATGGTTGCCTCCCAGCGCACAGCCATCGCACGCAGATCGAACAGCTTTAGATCCCCATTATCGTATCCAGCGGCAATTATACGCTCCTCCTCGTTGTAGGTGTTCCCAAATGCCACAGCCCAGCAGTCGCGCCGTAAATTGCTCCTGTTTATACCATCGCCCATCTGCGAGGGCGGCGATATGTCTACAACGGGTGCCTGACCCTGGCGTATGTCCCATACTTTGATAGCGCCATCGCGACTTCCAGTCACGATTTCGGGTGCTCCACATTCCAGCTGCGTGCCGCCAATAGCATCGATGCAGTTTATAATGCCGGTGTGCGCCTTCACGTTGTACACTGCCAGCTCCGGATGCTCCAGATCGCTTCGGGAGTTAGCCAGGAATTATATATTGATGGCTGGCCCAAAATTCATGTACTCACAGCACCTGCAGTCGTCCCTCAAAGTCACCAATGGCCATGTGTCGATTGCGCAGGGAGGAGGCGCCAAAGGTGCCACACTTGAAGGCCGCCTTCTTCTCCACCGTCTTGACCTTCTCCAGCTTTTGCTCGTTAAGCTCGTAGATGTCCATGATTCCATGGCTATTCGGCTTGCAGCCAAGCACCACAAATTTAGCCGATAGCGGTATCCATTTTGTATCGTACACCGTGTAGTTCACGGATTCGTGTAAATGTTCGATTAACTGGGGCTTGTCCATGTCGCCAGCTATTTTCTATTCCATGCGATTCTGTCTGAAAATGTTGATTTTCCAATTGATTTGAAGTTCAAAATCAATTTGTTTGAAATGTTGCCATAGTTCCTTTGATGACATGCTGCCGAAAATTAATCGATATCTGCACTAATAATCGAAAGCACGCAAGACAGGTTTTGTGGAGAACACTCACTAGGAGATACCCTGTGCTTACACACATCACACACACAATTCTTGTTATTAATCAAACATATTCCACGCCAAATTGCAAAATATTCAGAGTAAGATTTTTTCCAAAATAAGATAGAACTAATTCATTATTCATCACTGATATCAAAACTGTATGAACGCACATAATATATACGTACACTGCATGCCCATGCCTTGTCGATTGTTATGGGTATTGCGTACACAAACTATCGATAGTTTACCTCGTATTATCGAACGTGAATTGATGCCGTAACAACACGAAATTATAAAAAAAATAATTTTGTAAAAGAAAAACAAATACCTTGGAGAATATGCTGCGTGCAGGCTGTCAATTGTTCAATCCGTCCACCGTGGCGGCAGCCAAAACGGGCAGCAACAATTTCGCCTTGGAATTCGTGCGCTGGCGGCGAAAGCCGCGTTGGCTGCCGGTGGCCAAGAGCAAAGTTTTCCGCGTGCCCGAGCGAAAGAAGCAGTCAGAAGAGGAGCGCACGGAGCTAATGCGGCTGCACAATAACTACAAGTGAGTAAAAGAAAACATGTACGACACTGAAAAAAGTGACTGATTGTTATATTTACTGTCGTGTAGAACCCAATTGCGCTCTGTGCGGCAATACTTGCGGGAGGAGGTGGTGCGGCAGCAGGAAACGTCGACGGCAGATCACATAGTATTCACGCCCGAACAAGAGGAAGCAGAGTTCCAGCGATGCCTCGAAGTGAATGCCGCATGGAATGCCCAGATTGCTAAAGAGCGTGAAGTCCGCTTGGCCAAGGAACGGGAAGAGAAGGTTGCGTACATCCAGGAACGCATTGAAGCGGGTAAACTACGTGCTGAGGAGCAACGCGAGCGTGCCGATCAGCGCATTCGCCATGAAATCGAGCAATCCAAGACGTTCATCACACGTGATAATCTGGATGCGGCTATTGAAACAGCACTGGCCAATCCCGTGGATCACAACTATGCCCTCGATCTGGAGGGCAACATGCTTAGGGGGCGTACTACGCAATCGCTAACTAGCTAAGACTAGATATTTCTTATATTAAAAAATAAAGAGTACTTGTAATCAATGCAGTTAAATAACTTAGACTTAGGCGGCCTATTTACAGAATTATTATATGCTCCTAAACTAAACTAAATAAAAAAGGACTCAGCCCTAGTCTAGTGAGTGCTACGTGGCGGCAGAGCCTGCTGCTGTTGGTATGCTAGTTGTCGCGGATGTTGGTTGCCTGGCGGCTGTCTCTTGCTGCTGAAAGAGATGCACCCAGTCGGGAGTGGCCTTTAGCTTGGCCTGGATCGGACCCAGATTGATCATGTTTCCGCTGCGCTGTTCCCGATTGCTGCTGATGGACATGAGCTCCTACGAAAAGCAAGGATACCATATAAACTTTAAAAGGTTAAAGTTTTTTGACATACCTGTAAAAAGCCCGAGTCCAGACCCATGTCCAAGTCGAAGCGTGTTTCGCCCAGCAGCAATTTAACGCGGCCCGAACGATATCTTAATATCTTGCCGATTTGACCTTCCTCCAACTGTGCCAATAGACTGGGCTTGGGCGTACCGGTGGCCGCGGATGCAGACGTTGGACTGTTGGGCTGCTCTGCCGAGGCATTAGACGCTGGTTGCTCAGTGGCTGCAGGCGCATCTTCGGCTTCGTCTGCCACACAGGGCAGAACGTTAGGAAGCTGCATGACAAACAGTTGGGACTGTGGCGCATCGAGAAAGGCGCCAATACTGCGCGGATAACGTCCGTATTGTGCGGGTGGCTCCTCCATGCCAGCCTGGACACTAACGTGCAGGGTCTGCAAGTGCTGGGCTACAGCTAGCGAGTCTGCAAGATAGAAGAGATTAAATACCTTTGATTTGCTTAAGTGGATTATGTTTGCCTTCTTCGTCCGGTTTTGGTTTCGGTATGCCCGGTGTTTCCTGTTTTATGTTGACTTTTTGGGTGTGCCACAATCCTAGAAAAAAAATATGAATCAGCTATTTCTTGCCCAGATGGTTGCTCCCTGGTTGCACTTACCTTCGGTTAGCATCACCGGTTTGAAGTTCAGTTCAGTCTTATCAAGCTCACTTTCTTCACTGGCGGAATCGTCGTCATCGCTGTCATCGCTTCCTATCAGCTCCCTTACTCGCTGTTCCTGCGATTTGTCATCCTTGCGTTTTCGGGATATAGTTACTTCGTCGCCGGCGCGTGCGTAGGCTGAGCCGCCGCTTGAGGATTTGCGCAAATGCACGGCACCAGCGCCCTCTGAGAAAACGCCGGTCGTTTGTATGAGCGTGGAGTTGCCATTGCCAGCTCCACGTCCTCGTGTTGCTCCACCAGCACCGCGTGCTCCGCGACGAGCACCTCGTGGCTGCGTAAAGTCCTTCGACGTCTTGACATTGCTGTAAAGGTAAAAGTTTGTATTCAGATGAATCCTTGACTCGCTGCTGCCAACTACTCACATATTTTTGTTGCGCACTGCATTTAAATTGGGCGCGAAGACTTTTTTAACAGCCGCACTGGCACCGCGGCCGCCCAGGGTCAAGTCTCTTGCTGGCGTTAGACGTGACATTCCGTTTGACATGTTGCTCAGGGGCGCTGCAACGGGAGTTGCCGCTGCATTGTTGTTGTTGCTGCTGGCTGCGGCAACTGGTTGCGCTGTTGCTGGCATTCTCTTGGCTGGCATTGTGGACTGCCGCTTGGCACTGCCGCTGGCCATGTGCGGCCAAAGAAGTCCTTTATAATATCTGCCGTTTATTGATAATATTCAATGAGCTGGGTTTGGACGATGATTTGAGGTTATTTGGAAGAGTGTTGCAAAAGTAGTAACGCACGCACATGCCGATAAATGGAATTTAAGTATCGATAACTTATGGACGATACCAGTGTTACCGTATTCACAACAATTTGTTTTGCTACCTCTGCAGTCTGCGCGGCATTCGTGCTTGTTGGCGAATAAACAATTCATAATTATTGGTTTATTAAGTGTTTTTATAAGTGCTCGGTGCTTTTTATTGATTGTTAGATGTGCGCGGTTGAGTTATTGAGTTATTGCATTAAGATAACCAGACGCACGTCTCAAATTTGATAATTGTGCGTAGCGCGTCTGTGTGTTGAGACGTCGATCAGCTGTTTGCTTATTCCGATATTCAAAGTGTAAATATCGATAAATATTTTGCAATTGTGTTCGCGCCTTGGCAAATAAATTTGCTTATTAAAAAGAAAAATTTAAAATTGTGTTTGTGCACGGAACCATAAAAGCTCGTGTTTTAAATTACCCAGTCAAATAAATCGCAGCTGCGTGCTAAGTTCTCCGATCGCCCAACTCTATTTGTTACCATAGTAAGTAATTTATTTCCGTAATTAATATTCCCTTTACTCTGTAAACAATATGGTTGTCAATATGGTCTTTAAGAGCCCTTGCGATAACATAAACACAGATTATTGATTGTGTGTCTGTACAGGGTATTTCGCATTCGAGCACTTGGGTGTGTCATAATAATTACATATTCACATCTTAACCAATCCGAACGAATACCTTCGCAATGGTAAACATAGTATTATTATCCTATGGTACTGCGATATTATTCAGATTTAATACCATTTTCGGTTGAAAATACGTACATACTATTATGTCAGCAAGGGTATTCAATCTTCGTATCCCAAAATAACTGTTATTTCTTGCTGTTGTGTAGGTAAAGATGTTCACTTGCCATTTACACGTGCAACCGCTAATATTTCAAAGCCAAACTAGCAATATTCTTTTTAGCGCCTTTTCAGTGGTATGACTGCTATAATATTCTACTTGAACTTTGACCAAACATTCTATGGTGGATCGTTTATTTTAACTGATAATGAACTCGATAAATCCTGTATCTATTAGACCTAGCTTGATTGATTAACTTTAAACACTTATAATAAATTTATCTGCATATTTTTATATTTTTATATATATACCTATGCAATTAGTGTAATGCAATGTACAAGTTAAAACAGGGAAAGAGATTGAGAGAGAGAGCGAGGGAGAGAAGAGAGAGTGAGCATGAGAGACAAAGCGCACTGAATTGTTATGAAATTGTTCCAATGAATAATGAGCTATGTTGTTTGTAAACTAAAACAAGTAGTCAAGATTGATAAGCGTGGACACGATTAGGGCCGCTCAATTGAGCGGCTAGAATTTCATAATAGCGTCAAAGTTTAAACGGTCAGTATTTCGGAACAACTGGCCGCCGGCGGACGTAGACGGAGCAGCGATAGAAATATAAAGCATGGATCTAATTGCAGAGCAGGCAGCAGAAGCTACGCAAGCAAACTGTGATTCCGACTATATAGCAAAAGCTCTGGCACGCGCGTATAAAAGCGTAAATTTGCGTATAGAAAGCTTTCACAGCGAGGCAGTTAGTCAGCGCGGCGAAAACTTTTGTAGCGTCATCTATCGGATAAAAGTAGCATATCGCAAAAGCGAAAATGCGCCGCTAGAGCAGGGAAATTATATACTAAAGGACCTGTTGCCCATTGTGGCCGAGGTGGGCTCCAATGAGAAATTCATGTTCGAGCAGATACTGCCCGCCATGGCGCAGTTATTGGACAAAACTTCGCTGGAGGAGCGCAAGTTGAGCGCTGAGTAAGTTAACCTTTAAATTTTGTAATGTACTTAGCTAATTTAAGTATTTTCCCAGTTGTCTCTTTGCGGAGCGTGCCGCAGCCAAAGAGATCTATTTGCTGGAGGATCTTGGCGCGTTGGGCTATACATCATTAAATCGCCAAAAGGGCCTGACTCTGGAAGAAGCCCAGATTTGCGTACACAAATTGGCACAGTTCCATGCCGCCTCCATGATGCTGCTGCACGAGCAGCCCCAGCTGGTGGCTCAACTGTCGCCCTCGCACTATGCCGATGGTGTGAGTGATCCCTTCGCCCAAGTCATTTGCTTGGATGGCGCCGCTTATGCAGCAGATGTGGTGGCTGAGATGCCGGGCATGGCGCCAATAGCTGAAAAAATGCGGGCTCAGCTGTCCGGGGATTACTCCGAGCGCTTACGTGCCACGGTCAGTGCCAAAAACACAGCTTTCCCAGTTATTGCCCATGGAGACCTGTGGCTAAATAATATAATGATCAATGCCGAACAGAAAAAGGCAATTATTGTAAGTATGCAAGATAAAAGAAACAGCATTTTAAGCCTTATTAACGCTGTTCGCTTTCAGGTGGATTTCCAGAACTGTTTCATTGGCAGTCCGGCCATCGATCTACAATTCTTTTGCTATACCAGCTTGCAGTTGGACGTGCTACTGCATCACCGGGAGCAGCTGCTGCAGCATTATAACGAAAGTCTCTGCCAGACACTAACTGCTCTCAATTATCCTGGAAGCAAGCCAAGCTATGCCCAACTGCTTGATGAAATGGAACGTTGTCTCTTCTACGGCTACTATGGCGTCGTCTGTGAGCTGCCCATCTGCTGTGTCTCTAAGAATGCCGCTGAGGATTTCACTGTGCACACTTTCATAGACGCTGAGGCCATAAGGGCGAAGCGTCAACAGCTCTTTGCCAACGAACGTGTGCTGCAGACATTGAAAGCCACCTTGGGTCACTTTGAGCAACAGGGCATACTAAATGCGTTGTAAAGGCAGACAACTTCACTACTCTTTTTTGTTTTACCAAAAGTATTTAGGGAGTGGTACGTGATTCCATCTAAATGGGATGTTTTTGAAAATGTTAGATGTCCAAAGTTAGAACTGTATTAACCTCTGAGTAGTCTGTTTGTCTGCCCCCGCTCCGCTCTCTCTCTCTGTCTATTTCTCTCTTTCACATATGTTGGAGTCAAAGGGATCGCAGCACCATATTATATATCACAGATACGATCGTTTAAAAGTTGATTTCTTAAACTATATGTATGAAATCCCTTCACGCAAAATACATTTTGCATTTGCTAGCAAAACCTTATCTTATCTAAAATAATAAAAGTGATTATATACATATCTGTTGCTAAACATAGACCTGTAAATTGAGTTATAAACGTTTTCTTCGCTTACAAGCTGGGTGTGCTTCGGGTAGTTCCATGTGCTTGCTGCTCAAGAGGGTATGACATGTGCCGCTTAAATGTGGGGTGTGGTCTGAGGGTCTTATCCGCTGCTTGGGTAGCTTCTTCTATGCTATGACAGCTATACAACCTGCATTACTCAAGTGCTTCAACTTGTGTTTATAAATAAATTTTCGTGTCTGCCAAAGTTTCTGGCCAAGATTTACGAGTAAGAGATGGCAATTGAATGCGTGTGTGAGTGTGTGTAAGGTTGTATGTTGCATGTGCCTTGTTCGGCTGCATAGTGTGCGATAAAGTTGGCATCGCCTACCCCCATTAACCCGCAACTCCGGCGAGGTGCAAAATATGCAAATCGCTTTGCAGTTATTCTTAGAAAGTTGTCAGTTTCCAAGTGCAGCTAAGCCAAGCGTGCAACAGCGTGCCATGGTAAGCAGACCAAAATGCACTTGACACCCTGCAACTTGTAAGTTGTAAGTGTTTAAAAAGCAATTTATTGTTTTACCCAAACGCAGGCACCTAAACCCACTCCGAAGCCTCATCCTTATGGGCATGTGCTTTAGTTAGCCTGAGCTGAATTTTCTTACTATTACAACGATTTCTTAAAACCTGTAGACTTTGGTCATATTATTTGGCATTATGTGGTCAAAGAAAGTATTTTTCTTTTAATTATTTTACTTCCTATCGCAAGCTGCCTTAAATAACATGCAGGAAATGCAATGTACCCAACTGTTCTGCTAGTCAACCCGCTCTCTGGGCAATTTGAGTCGTGTTTCCTTCACCCTATCCCGACTGGCTCTGGCTTTGAACTCCAAGCGGAAACTGCAACCAAAACCCTAGAGCTGCAAGTTTGTCTTTCGAGTTGTGTTTTTTTTCTTTGGCTACTGCATTTCGCATTGCACTTGGTGTGGTATGGCAAAACAAATCAAAGACACGTAACCCTGCGTTGGCGACTGGTCTCTGCTGCTTGGAGGCATTAATTGCATTCTGCAGCATCACATTGCACTTTCAATTAGTTGCAAATGCCTTAACTCCGACCTAAACTCCAGCTTCCACCCATCTGCAAGCATAGCCGTCGGCAAAGTAACAGGAAACGGAAGTTAAGTGCTGAGGCGAGGCGTTAAGTAAAATCAACCCCCAGCTCAGTAGCTGTCTCAGACGGGAGTTGAATGCAACAAAGCAGCAGCCCAGCCATGACATTGGAGAATTATGCATTAATTGAAAGGTGATGTCGACTTTGGAGTTCGCATTTGTGCGGGGGTCTGTTGACTTGACGCATGGGTGCAACTTTGACAGCGAGTTGATTTGTTTTGGCAGTTCCTTTGGCCAGCAGAAAGTTGACCTGCGCTTCTGTCTGGAGCTCAGTTGATGCACCTTGAACCGCCTGCACCCCTTGAAATTTGCATGCACTTTGCTGCCGGGCATTTTGACTCGCCCAATGTAAACAGCAACGGGCTGACCGTTGCCCAGTCTCTGCCTCTGCTCTAATGCATTTCAAAATAGATTTATGGTTTTCTTTCGTCTTGCATTTAGAGGTGTTCGCAAGGCCTGTGCATGGTGGGGTGGTTGGTTGTTTGTTGGCTTTAGCCGCACACGCATTTGTTTGTTTTCAATGTTAATTAAGGCTTACGATTACAGAAATCGGCTCAAGGGGTTTGTCTTATATGCTATCAATTTAAATATTAGTATTGTGTATCTGTGGACATACACTTAGATACTGAGCAAAAAAGCTATTGCGGGCTTTGAAATTTTATTTAATTTCTAGGGGCTCTTGGATTAGCTTTATCTAAAGCGCACCCAAGTGCAGAGACGAGTTACTTTAGTGTGGATTGCATTCACACTTAACATATACGCCCGCATAAAATAATATAAATGTACATATTCCGAAATATACATGCATAAACCTACATAAATATATATGTTGCTGCCAATGCTGGTTAAAAGAAGCATTTGTCAGGCTACTTCAATTCATGAGAATCGCATAGAAGGGCGATTGCAATTCGAAAAAACGCTGTGCGCAACAATATTTCACAATTTTTACTCATATTGAATGTTCATATTGTATACATTTTGTTGCTAGTTTATTAAATCTGTTTATTTTCTTATCGCAGTGGCCCATAGTTTTTTCAATTAGCTAACACCATTTAAGCACGAGTGAGAGAGACTTAAGTAAGCGGCGAGCACACAATTAAAGGCAATAAATTTGCACATAAAACCATAAATCAAAGTCCGATCATAATCGCAAAGCGCAAACAAAAGAAAACAAATAATACTATGTGGGGAAAAAGTGGCAAGCGAGAACTTTACTTCCGCTGCTGGATATGTAAGCCATCCCCCCAATCGAAGGACGGACCTCCTTGACCAGAGAAGGCTGCGGATTGGAGTTCGCTTCGTTTATTAATTGTACAACTGTCTCCAATCATAATTAATGAACTTTGGGCACATCCTACAAACGTCACATAGACTCGAGTCGGAACGGAATTCAAATAAAACTAAAATATATGTATCAACAGAAATGTATTCTGGCACACCATAAATCTTCCGTTTGGCAAATCTGTTCAGGGTGTTTGGTTTGGTTTGCTGTGCATTTGTTTAATGGATGACAGTTTCAATTAGGCACATTTAAGCATTTTCTGGGATTTCTTCACTATTTTGATTTGTTTTAAATATATGTGATTAACTGAATAGAATGCACTTGAGCATGTTTAACCTTACAAGTAACTAGATTCAATTTTCATGAAACTGTGCTGTACTTGGCGGTTTTCCTGCATTTCATCATCAGTTGAGGCTTAATGACTTTCAATAAATAATTTTCAGCCCAACAATGCTGCGACGCAACAACAAAAGAACCCACAGAATTTACATATGAATGCCTGGTATCTTACGGCCGGGACATGTCGTTCCTTTACCCAACTCCATCCCCAGCCAATTGGTTGTGAAAAATTGGACAGCTATAGCAAACAGCTAGCACACATGATTACCATTCGAGAGCCGAGGGCTGGGTGGGGGCTGGACTAGCCCTTTTCACACAGCTAATGACTAATGATGCCACAATTTATCTTGCCGGATTTGTAAGCAAGTGTTAATGTTTTTTAATTTACATTACGTCTTTTGCACAGCGCAACAGCCCCCCGATTTCCCTCCCACTGCCCCAAATGTGCATGTGTGCATAATTACTTAAAATGAAACACGACGTGTAGAAAAGAGCTCGTGTCATCATTTTGAAATTATTTAAATTCTACCAACTGACTTACTGACAACGCTGATAAATGAGCTAGTGACGAAGCCGCAGGCCCTTCCTCTGGCAAACACTTCTTGCATTGCAGCTGAATGAAAAATTAACGCAATTTTCTTGTTTGCTTTTAAGCTTGAAAAGCTTCTGAAAACTAAGTGGTTGTATCATAAGAGCTTCTCCTGATAATTATGTGGGATTTGCATACGTAATTTTCCACATGAACGCCTGCTGCTGCCACTGCAAAGTCATTCCGATGAAAATGGGAAAACTCGAACCAGCACCCTCTCCTTTTCTCGCTCGCTCTCACACTCTCATCGCAATATTTGAAATATCATATTATTAAAGATCAGAAAGTAATACTTGTGTCTTAATACTGTGAATACCATAAGATAATTACCAAGTGAACAAGTCTTACCTCTATGTGTGAGTATTATTCAAACTGCGATTTCCATTTATCCAAACTGAAAATGTAAAATATTCGTAACTACGCAAATAAATCTAATGCAATTACCTTAAAAGCGCCAACGATAAAACCATATTCCGGATGAGGGTTCATATGAGCTGATTGCATTTTACAGAACATTTTTATGACATTTACGCGAGGCAATAAAAACTAAACGAATCCTTCATGCGAATGGCGCCAGTTTCAGAGTAGCAAGTCGTAGCCTCTGCTGATTGATGAATTGCCCGACTGACTGTGGGTTAGATTTGAGTCTGTTGAGCATTTTAACGGCTTACATGAAGGGGCAGCTGTAACGAGAAGAGGGACAGCTTTTATGCGGCCCACAGACATGGGCCAAAAACTAATTACCTATCCTGGACCTGGGACAGTGCTCGTCAGACATTTACGGCGCTCGCTTTATAGACAGAGCCGTAGACGTTGCGGTTTAGCATTTGTAATATAAACGTATATGTATATACATATTTTTAATGGCATTTTGCATACGATTTACATTTTGCTGCACTGCATCGATAAAACGAAGACCCTTTTAATGGCATCAACGACACTCGCCGACAGACCAGCCGGCAAATTTGGCGCATAAAAACGCAACGTCGCCACTATAAAAGTGGCTTCAAGTTTTTTTGGGAATGTGTAACAAATATAAAATATAAATGTTATTCATAGTGAAATCCCTTCCAACTTTCTAGATCGTTGCCTCTGTTGTTTTCGATGATAATTCAAAATGTGTGAAAAGGTTTTTGACACTTGTGGGCGGCGCTGCACAATTTATGACTTGCCAGTTGGCTTTAGATTTTACTATTAGTTGTGATGTAATGTGCTCTACAATCTGCCAAAAAGAAAAATAAAACATAAATTTAGCATATAAGTCCGCCACTTCTTTGAATTTTGCATTAAGTTTAAAAGGCTTTGATTATAAATCAATTTAGTTGCTTATGCAACCCAGTTATGGCAAATTCATCTATACTCTGATAATCTTTTACGGTTTTTAAATCAGATTTATATTATCAGCCGAAATAAAAATAATATTTGTTTCCTTAGTTATTTTCTAGATTCCTTTTTTTTTGAAATCTGTAAAAATATTAAAATAAATTTCTGTCAGCTATTTAATATTGTTTCTTAATAACGTGATACAGCTTTCAAAAGAGCAATAAAGTATTTTTTGAAAATTGTTGAGTAACAGACGCTGCTTTAATTGTAAATTGTAAGAACTGGGTTGGTTTTTGTGTATTGCAATCAAGAAACGGAATTGTTGAGGCTTTGACGCAGAAT